TTATTGTGTTTCATGTCATTTGTAGGGACATGGATGAACCTGGAAACCATCATTCTCAGCAAACTGACACAAAAACAGAAAATCAACCACCACATGTTCTCACTCATACCAAATGTTTTATGATTTTCAGTGTGAAAATCTTACAAATATTTTGTTGGGATTATTCATAAATATTTCAAATTTATTGGTATTTATATATCTTTCTTTTCAACATTTATATCCCAACTATGTAGAAATGCAATTGATTTTTTAATAATGACCTTTTATTCTGTGAATTTATTAAATATGCTTATTCTATACAGCAGTTCCTTTTGGATCCTTGAGACTTCCCACATAGAGTGGACATCTGTGGAAACAGTCTGTTTCTTTCCAATATATATACCTTTCATTTTATTTTCTTTCCTGATTTGTTAACTAGAATCTTTGTTTGAAAAGAAATGGTGAGATCAGGCATTTTTTTTCTTGTTATTATCCCATGGGAAACGCATTCAATCTTTGAGCTTTTAGTATAGGTTTTCATTAGGTCTTTATCAAGTTGAGAAGGTATTATTTTATTTGTGCAGGTATTTTTGTAACATATTATAGTGAATGCTTATAATTTTATGTTGCCATGGCATCCATTTTTGATGAAAGTTTAGCTTCCTCATGTCAGAGGCAGAGCTCAGTCACCCTTGACATAATTGTCAGTTTTACATCATACCTAAAAGGCTCAAGCTAGGGACCAGAGATAGAACTTACAGGCGTTTCTCTTGCCTAGCCTAGCAGGATGGACTTCCCTCTTTCCTATTGCTTCCCTTTAATAAATCATTCAGGTATTTGCACCTAAGTGACCCACACCCTATTCTCATAAGTTTATTACTTGTGGCAGTACTCTCTTCTCTCTCCCTGTCACAGTTTCCTGACCTCCAGGTGTGCCATGTACTCAGTGTCTGTGAGTGCTCAAAACTCTTAAGCTTTCACATTTGGTTGTGTCCTTGAAGCTGTGCCTGAAAACTGAACAAGAGTGGCAAGGCCACCCAAATGGTTGTAGTGGATCCCCAGGCTTCTAGTGGCTGCTGGGGTCAATAGCTAACAGCTGAATTGATAATGAAACTTGAATAGTTTCATTTAAAACAAACATAGACCCTGACTTTGCTACATCTATCAAGAGGATGCTGTGTTATTGTTGTTTATTATTATTTTTTTAGGCTACAGTACATTAATTGATTTTTGAAAGCTGAACAAACCTCTTAAATTAAATTCTACTCTGACATGACATTTATTTGAGAGAGAGAATGATTATGATAATAATAATGATGATGCTTTTTATCCATTTCCATGAAGAATATTACTCTGTAGTTTTCTTTTCACGTAAAAACAGTTTTTCATTTTGGTATCTGTGTAATGTAGGTCTCATAAAATAAATTGCAATGTGCCTCATCTTTTATTTTCTAGAAACATTTTTGTAATTAGTATTATTTATTACTATTTTTGTAAAATTAGTATTATTTATTTTGATAGATCTTTCCAATGAAAACATCTTACCTGGGGCTTAGGTTGTTGAAAGATGTTTAACAATGAATTCAATATCTTCAGTAGCTATAATATGGATTAGAGAGAGAGAGAAAGAAAGAGAGAAAGAAAGGAAGAAAGAAACAAAGAAAGAAAAGAAAGAAGGAAAGAAAGAAAGGAAAGAAAGAAAGAGAAAGAAAGAAAGAGAGAGAGAGAAAGAAAGAAAGAAAGAAAAAGAAAGAAAGAAAGAAAGAAAGAAAGAAAGAAAGAAAGAAAGAAAGAAAGAAAGGGAAAGAAAGAAAGAGAAAGAAAGGGAAAGAAAGAAAGAGAAAGAAAGAAAGAAAGAAAGAAAGAAAGAAAGAAAGAAAGAAAGAAAGAAAGAAAGAAAGAAAGAAAGAAAGAAAGAAAGAAAGAAAATGATGGGAGAGAGAAAGAGAGAAATAAAGAGAGAACGAGAAGGAGAGACATCTCCATAAACTCTGTTGGTTCTGTTTTTCTGAAGAAACCTGACAAATACACTGTCAGATGTATGTATTTGGGATGTTTCTTGAGCCTTTTACACTTTATGCCTCATGACATATAATCAATTTTCATCAGTAAGTCAGTAGAAATATAGCTTTATTCTGAGGCAAAATTAAGTGTTTCTCAATGTGTTAATTGGCTCACATGAAACAACACTGATCATTTTGCCATGATTTATTTAAAGCAGTAATTCAGGAAGTCAGGAGCCAATCTGACTGCATCATATTTCTAATAACAAGTGAAAGGTAGACTAAAAGAATGTCTCACTTTGCAATTGCTAATTGAGAAGAACATGCAAAAATATCCTACAAATTCTTTTTTCAAAAGTAAATGTTATATACAATGGATTTTAAACTTGCAGTAGATATACATGAAAAAACATAATTCAGATAGATAAAATCACATTTGAAAAAGAGATCAAATTTGAAAATTCATGAAAAAAATATTGATATACTTGAAATAAGTATCTTTGAATAAACTAAGAAAATAAAGACATATTCATTTTTACTGATATTAAAAGCAAGTTATAATAACATGTAGTTTGAATTCTAAAATAATGTATTAGTTACTCCTTTCAAAACCGCTGAGATCAGTTCATTAAGATTTTGGTTTTTTGATGTAAAATAAAACTAACATAATGACTCTAGAGATGCTAAATAATAGAAGTTTAGAGGGGAAATAAATAACTGGTCTGTCCTGAACATACAAATTATAATAGTTCTCAAATATGTCCTCTAATTTAGATCTTTCTAATGCAAGGACTTAGGTCAGTTATCACATTATGATAGGAATTGCAAAACATTATTTAAAGAATTAGGTTTGTCTGGCTCATGCCTGTAATCCCAGCACTTTGGGAGGCCGAGGCGTGTGGATCATGAGATGAACAGATCGAGACCATCCTAGCCAACATGGTGAAACCCCGTCTCTACTAAAAATACAAAAATTAGCTGGGCGTGGTGGCATGTGTCTGTAGTCTCAGCTACTCGGGAGGCTGAGGCAGGAGAATTGCTTGAACCTGGGAGGTGGAGGTTGCAGTGGGCCGAGATCGCGCCACTTCACTCCAGCCTGGCGCTTGGCGATGGAGCGAGACTCTGTCTCAAAAAAAAAAAAAATTAATTTTGTCTTTTAACATATAAGTAAAAAAAAAATAAAAACATATGGTTTCAATAATTCTAAAACATTACACATGATGTTTACTAGATATCATTCAGATTACATTTAGATATTTCTACACATAAAATTATCCATTGTATTTTCTGATCTCTCATTAACATTAGAGTATTATCTTTTTGCATCACTTGTCATGAATTCTTTGATGTTTTCTTTAGGTAAAGAAAGAAGTATTTCTGTATGAGTAAATATTTATCGATTAAAGTTGAATGAGTGTGCATGTACAGAAACTTTTTTCAAATGGGCCTCCTAAAAATAAGTGTAAACTAAAAAGATTAGTATAAATGCTTTAATGAATATTTCTGCAAAGCTTGACTCACAGATTTCTGATTCAAGAACAGTATTTCTCTATTGTTCAGACAAATTTGGTAAATACTTTTTCATATATATCTGAACGTGCATTTATCAGCTAAAATAGTTAAAATTACATTCATTTAATCTAGTGCTTAATGTAATTCATTAGCACAATAGAATATTAATACAATAAGGAATAAACAATAAAACATAAATTAACAATTTCACTACAAAATAATTATCAACATTACTTTTTTATTAATATGTTTAACTATTGTATAAAACAACTCCACCTACATTTAGCTAAAATAAACTTTGTCACATAATCACAAAGAGATTAGACACAAGCCAGGAACTAGAATGCAACTTAGTGTCAGGTAAGCGCAACAATAAGATTGGAAACAGCTCTGGATTCATTTTCTCAACTCTTGTTCTTTCTGCTTTTAGCTTATTGCTTTTGTTTATTTGTCTTGCTCCTGCTGTCATCCTCATTTCTCGGGCTACATAGCAGGATATGGAGACACATATCTACCTTACAGTTCATCCACATATAGAAATATAAGTGGCTCTGTTACATAGTTAAGAACTCCAAATTTTAAAAAATCAGATCTGTGCAGCCTAGATAAGGTTTACACAACAGTATGAGTCAATTCTGTCACAACATCGGTGGCAGAGGTGTGAAATTTGGCAAGTCATTTTTACTTGCTAGTCTTCTTTCTGACTGATAAAATGGGAATCATAATCGTATCTCACACGTTGTTGAGAAGACCTAACGAGATTACGCTTGTAGATGATCTAGCACAGCACTTGGCACAGAATAAGCACTGTTAACCCTTATTATAAATTTAACTGTGTTAATTGCTATTGATTTTAAGACTCTTCATCCTGAAATTAGACAATATGAATTCACATTCCTGCATTATAATTTATACCTGCTAAAAATTGCAGCATGATCTTGGGAAAGTTATGCACAATATCTAGTCTTTCACATTGACCAGTTGAGGGCAATAATAGTATTTTTTCCATTGGATAATTTATTGTTATTTCTCTGATTATAATGTCTTGTCTTTCTTCTGATTGAGTACGATTTTTTTATACTCCACACCTTAAATGCAAAGAACCATGTACCTATATACTTTGCGAGGGTTTCTGATATTGTCAGTTCCTAACTGACCTGGATTTATGAGGGTAGCAAACAAGGCAAATGGTGATGACAGTCATCACAAAGTACCACCTGAGAGGTGTAACAGATAGTTGCTATTTCTCTCTATTGCAAGTTCTCATTTGTTGAGCCAAAGGGCACCACTGGAAAACATACAAAGAAATTAACTGTCTTTATTCAGACTGCCTTTCTCATGACATGAGCTCATACTTTATTTAACCCTGGTTAAGCTTTTCTCAAGCCCAGTTACGGCTGCTTTAAAATTCCTGTCAATTTTGGCATAATGCTTTCTGCCAGTCTTGATTTTCAGTGCTATGAGTCTTTTGTTTGTGTTTCATTTTGTTTTCCTGTGTTTTCACTTTAGAAAGAAGTTGCAAGAGGAAACTAGGAATTTCCTTTCAAACTCCATCAAACCATCCCATTTGAATGTTTTTTAAAGTCATTATTACTTCATTAGTGAGTTAAAAGATAGGCCAATACTCATGATCACCAAAATTTTTAAACTGCTCCTAAAAATAATTCTATCTGCATGTTTTGAATATATTTTAAATTAAACCAGGCTTTTTTTCTGCCATCAAACCTATAGCCCAAATGTCTTAGCACAACAGATTTTTAAGTAATAACATTTAAAGAAAAAATGATCAATAGTATTAAATGAAAAAAATGACTAATATTTATGTGGAAAAAATATGGTTTTATGCTCATGATAAAGGAAGATGCAAAAATCACTATGGTACGTGATCTAGGCTTATTTTTATTCGTAGAAAATTCCAAAAATTCTTCCTGTGAGGATGCATTGGATAAAGCAGGTCAAAGTGGCTGAAGAGGGCTAAGCAAGCCTCTTGGGGAAGATGGTATCATCTGATCCATACACATGTCACATTCAGAACATTCTGCATGGTTGCTGCTGAGCTCCCATCTGTCAGATCTCAACAGTGAGAACAAAGACTAGAGATCTGAGTAATTCAAGAAACATCCATTTACTAGCTGGCAAGACAAATAAAATTAGGAGGAGCCACTTTCTTCCTGCTACATTATTGATACGTGTTCTACCGGCCATACCGCATTTTACATAAAATGCATTCAACTACAGTCATTTGCTTTAATTGTCTTATGTTTTGAAACTTCTTCATAATATATACAATCTCTATAAGCATAGTACAAAATAACTACAAGCATAATCAATAACATTGTATTTAGTCAATAAGAGGGATTTTTCTTTGGTACAAATCTTGGGAAATGCAGTATTGATCTATGCTGCTTCAAAAAAGAATAATAGGCTTTTCTTAATATGTGAGTTAAATTTAATATTTGCATATACATTACATAAAAATAAAGTGTTTCACTCTGAAAGTGCTTTTAGAAAAAATTCAGCAAAGTAGATATCTGGGAAATTAAGCTGAAAAGAAATTTATTCATTTCCAAGAAGATTAATGATAATGTGACACAGGTATTCATATTCCACATTTTATCTTCTACTGTCAATTCATCTAACAGTATGGGCCAATAAGTAGCATAGAAATCTTCTGCCTTTAATACATTTTTTCTTACTGACAGCTAAAGTAACATTGATTTACTCCTATATATTATATGAGCACTTGAAATGTTTATACAATGCATACTTTAAGATTGAATATAGAAGAGATGTTTTGACATAAATGGGACTGAAACCATAAAAAATTTTTACACTGAAAATTAATATACCTTTGAGTTATGGCTCATTGTGCTCTAAAAAGTGACTTGCTCAGATTGAATTACTCCTCTACAGATGAGACACCAAGAAGTTAATGTTTTATTCAGTAAGAACGAACAATTTGCTATCTGTTGCTTAGCCATGTACTAGGATTACAAAAATAAATTAATAAATAAGATAGATACAGACTTTTTTTCCCATCAAGGAGCTCAAAGTAAGAGAAACAAGCACAGATAAATGTACTATAATAGATATATGGGGAAAAACACTATCTCACAATAGTAATGATACTGCAAAATAAAAAGAAGTATGTATCTCAGCCTGCAGGTTTCTAGCTTGGCTTTCTGGAGGAAGCAATTCTTTACTTGCATCATGCACAATAATTATTAGCCATTATTTTTATTTTTGTAACATAATTTATAATTATTAAAAGTTTAGACTACAGGATATTTCTGCTGAAAGAAATACTATTTATCTGAACTTCAAGTTTAAATAGGTACTCTGTATTTTAATTAATACTGGCAACCCATATATTCTACCTACTACGGAGATAATACCATATAATATCATTTTAACAATTTATCTCTTCTGCAGCAGTTGAAGTTGTTAAGACTGAACCAGGTATTAAAATCAATAGAAAATTAATCTCCATGTCTAGGAAGGCATATATAGTATTTGAAAAGTGCAATAAAGTGAAATGAATTTTTTTTTTTTTTTGAAACAGGGTCTTGCTCGGTCACCAGGCCCCCAGCTGGAGTGCAATGGGGCAACCTCAGCCTCCTGGGTTCAAGTAATTCTCCTGCCTCAGTCTCCCCAGTAGCTGGGATTACAGGTGCACGCCACCATGCCCAGCTAATTTTTGTATTTTTTAGTAGAGACAGGGTTTCACCTACTTGGCCAGGATGGTCTCGAAGTCTTGACCTCGTGATCTGCCTGCCTCGGCCTCCCAAAGTGCTGGGATTACAGGCATGAGCCACCACGCCAGGCCAAAATATTTTTTAAAATAGTTTAAAGGGAAGTACTTTGGGGGTATTCTTTTTGAAGAACCAGAAACACACCAAATTTATCTCCCAGTCTGCAAGAAAACGGTAGCTGAAGGATTTAGCAGCTTCCATTTTTCCTATGAAGAAATTCAGGATTCATGTCTTATCAAGTTTCCATTGAGTGCTTTGATATTCTACATTACATTAAACCAGGGAATATAGTTTACAGAGAACCCAGTGGAAAAATATTGGAGGAAGCTAGCAGGGAAATTGGATAAGCAAAATAGACAGTCTCAGAATAACATGCATACAACAGTAGAAATCAATGGGGCTTTTAAAAGTTTAGGCTGTTACAACAAAAGGACAGGAACATTAAAGAAGATGTGTTGTATGGATTTAAATTCCAAACAGTACCCGATAGAGTGGCATGGCTGGTGATGATGTAAACTGAGATCAGAAGAGTTAGTGTCAGCAATCTGGTGAAACTAGAAATTTTTCTGCTGTTCTGTTGCTATAAATTAGCTTAGTCAGAGAACCACATGATTGCAGACTTTGTATGAAGGTGCTGAGGTAAGCGCATGGAAAGTTTCCAAATTTGCAGAGGCCATATCTGCAAGCACTGTAGTCTAGCCAGACTCCAACTTCATTATTCTGTTGGCAAAATCAGTGTGCCACATACTAAAGTATTTACTGAATTATTTCCAGTATTCTCTTTAGTTAGTGAATCATTAAAAATATTGTTTTGTTTGTATACAATCTTCTTTGACACTCTCCTTCTCTTGTCTTGTAAATATACAAATGTGTGTATTTTGGTTACCCACTATATAAACCATTTCTGATTCTATAGTGTCCCAATATCCTAGAATCATAAAAATGGAAAAATGTGAGAAACTTAGAGACTATCCAAGTTTAAAATCTAAGTTTAATATATTTAAAGATATATTAAATATATCTTTGTTTATTTAAATGAGTTTAAAGGCATTTAAATGACATATAATATACTTTAAATTTCCAAATGAAGATACAGAAACTCAAAACCTTAAGTAATTTGTTCAAAGTTAAACAAAACTCCTAGATAATCTGATCTCCTAAATGCTAATTCACTGAATCTCCAAAATATGCTTCCTTTTCTACCTATTGAGCTCTGCTCCTCAGTCCCTACTTAGTACACAATGGCAGATAGAAGTATGACTAAAACACACACTCTGGTGTGAGACTCTTGGGTTCTAATCCCAACCATACTTCGTAGACTAAGAACGTTAGACAAATTACTTCAGTCTTCTGAGGAGAAAAAGCATTGCCACACAAATGAATCTCAGTAAAGTACCTTGCAGGTGTACATGAATTCTGAAGTACAGGTGGAAGGATACTAAATATGGTAGAAAAGTTAGAGAAGATTTACACAAGTAACAATTTAAGTGATACTTAAAAAATTGCTCAGGTCAGGAGTTAGCAAACTACTTTTTTTAATGGCTCACAAGCTAAGAATATCTTTTACTATTTAAATGGTTGGGGAAAAAATCAAAATAATATTTTGTGACATGTTATTATTTATGATATTCAAATGTCAGTGTTCATCAATAAAGTTTTATTAGAACATAGTGTTATACATTAACTTACATATTAATAGCTGTTTTCATGCTAAATAGCAAACGATTGCAAGATATCTACAATATTTACTATCTGGTCCTTTAAAGAAAATGTTTGCAGAACTCTGGTTTAGAGAAATGCTACTCAAAGTGCCAGTGTACACTGAGTTAATAAGCTTGTATCAGTGTGTTAATTAATGTAAAACTTCTTATATCAGAAGTCTTGCTATAAAAAGAAGTGAGGGGTCAGGGGAGCAAATTAACCCATACCCATGTGCTTTGTTATGTGGTGGAAGTATATTATCTCTAAATCTCTTTATCTTGTCACAGACAGAGAGCTAACAGTTTGAGCACCTCTTAGCAGTCCATAAGTGACTTATTGAATACCACTGTTTCAAGGTTTACCAGATATAACAGCAGTGGATATCTGACCCAGACCGATAAGATTGTGTATAATAAAGATGCACATCTTACCATTAGTTGAGAAATGATGATAATTTTGATATTTGTTTTTACATGTAAATGGTTTGGGGTTTAAATATAAGCCTAAACTATAATATTTGAAAATATCATATGTAAATGTTGAAAGTTTATAAGAAACAGGCTCATATAGAGGAAAAATTAATAATATAGTAAGTAAAAAAATCACCAAATGTCTATACAGTTTCCTACAGGGTGCCAGTCAAAGAAAAAGCTAACTTTGGAGAGTGAAAAAGCACACTATGGATTTAAAAATTAGCATAAAGGGCTTGGTATAATCAATTATCTTCAGAGATTTGGCAATTATGACCAGTAGATTAAGCTTATTTTAACATGTCTTTTTAAATCAACTTTATGAGCTCTTGAAAACCAAAGATAGGCCCAGTTTGAAATAAGATACTCAATTTGTAATATTTTGAATCTTATGGCTTCAAAATTTCAGCAGCATTAATTCTATAAATTCTTTATCCTTTGTTGATAGCACATTTAATTTTAGTTGGCTATATTGCTAAGAACAATTTGATGAAATTGGAAAGCAATTTCTTCAAAAATTATCATTACTGTCTATACGGCTCTCTAATTTTGAACCCCAAAGTCAGTAACATTAAATATCAATTTGTATATACTCAATTATGATTCTCCAATCTTACTACTTTTGAAAAGTCTTCATTAATTTTAACAAGTTTTAAATTAAATTATCACATTTCTCCTTTAAATATTAAAAATCTTTTTCATTGTTGTTATTTTATTCTATCCTCTTGCAGACAAAATATGTAAAATGAGTTTATTCATTTTCATGGTTTTAATTGCCTGTCATTTTTGGGGGATAAGATCCATATTATTATATCTTTAAAAGTAAAACATTCCCTGAAATGCACATTTTGAAATAACATTAGAAACATTTTCATTGTATTTTTGCCTGCTACTTCACAGTATCTGTTATTACTATTTAAAGAAAATACTTTAATCTTCTGTAACAATAACATGTCCTTAGAGCACAGAAGTCTTGTCATGTGTAAGACAAATGCCAGGTTAACAAATGTATGTGTAAACACAGAATAGATATCAAAGATGATAAGGTAATGCTGTTCTGTCTGAAAGACTGTTGCAGATCTAATTCAAAGGGGAAAGAGAGGGCATGAGTCAGTAGAAGCACTATCTGCTTCAGGAGATACTTCTGTAGTATAACTCCTGCAAGATAGTTACAAAACATGACCTTTCACTAATATGTTTTTGCATATATTTTCCTAATAATGCAACCTTTGAAACGACATGTTATATCTGATGAATATAACACTGAGTGACAGAATACAGATACAGAAGATCGCATACAGTATGATTCCATT